AATTCAGTTGAGCATATATGAATGTTGCATGGATTTTTGATGGGAATGATTGATGTTGTGCTGATTTTGGATAGGTGGTGGGATATTCGAGTAGTTTAATGCTCGAAGATGTGATTTTTTATTTGAGCCATTCTATCCTTATATTTTTCCTTCCCTGATGCCTACACTGCAACCCGAAAGTCCTTTTGATTTACAATTCATTATTTTGATTGTTCTAGAGTATGAATAGACAATGAGCAAGCTTATGTTGATGCATGATGATCGACCAATTTGAGCGAACCCCCTTCATATCATGAAAGAAATCGAGTGAGGCAGATATATATTATACTTTCGTGCTTGAGAGTTTGTCTTTTCAAATCGTTGCATTCGAGTCGTAATTGAGGTGTGCTATATTGGTCATTGGAATTCTCCTCGGCTAAGTTGATTAATTCGAGACTTGTCTTATCTGAAACTATTATCCATACTCGATTGCTTGTTTTCGTGTCTTTTCTTTTCTTTTTGTTCGGGACGAACAAAGGTTTTAGTGTGGGGGAGTTGTTTGTCCCATTTTTGTTGTGTTTTTCGTTGTCCTTTTGTCTTTCTTTTTCCCCAATATTTAGTCTTTTTGTTGGTATTATTCGTTTTTGTAGTTTATTGCGTGATTTGATCTATTTCGGTTTTTCTTGTATTTTTCGTGTGTTTTTCCGGTTTTTCTTTGTTTTTGGTGTGTAGGTCAGGAGCTTTGGGCAAAGTTTCTCTTCCTTAAAAATTAGTTCCAAGAGCATAATTGAATAGAGGAGCTCGTTAGCGACGCGTAGGAAAAAGCGGAATTGAATTCCGATACCAGACGAGCCCGAACGAGCCCGAACCGTGAAGTCATGCAAAGCTTCCGGGGGGCCTTAGCGCCGCTAAAACCTGTGTGGTTAGCGGGGTTTTGGCAGCTAAGCGGGACAGAGGAAACCAGCTAAGAAGGCTTAGCGCCGCTAACCCCTTAGCGGCGCTAAGGCCTGTTTTTCAACTGACGCGTTTTTCTCGCGATTTTGAATGGGGGACGTATTTGATCGAGTTTAGGGCATAATTTCTTCATTCCAGACCTGTTATTTTCGTTTTTTTCTTCCCTTAAAACACATCTTTCTTTTAATCTTTCATCTTAGATTGGATTTGGAGAATAAAAACTCATTTTCTAGCATTGGGTTCGGTTGTTCGTTGTTTCTTTCGACATTGGATTCACTTTTAATCGTAAGCACTCTTTTTCATTTTGTGTATGAATATGATGGCTTGGGTTATTGATTATTTTGATGTTGAATCGATCATGAGTAGCTAAATCCGTATGCTAGGGATAGGGGATTAATGTTTTGATTTCGATTGCGATTGTGGGATTAGATGATTGTTCGTCTTATGCAAATTGGTTTTTACTAGGGTTTTTCTATAATCATTCTTGAGTTTTGAGAATTGTTGAAGGGTGACACTTCAATTTCCAATGATTTTAATTGAATTCGATTAATTCATGTTTGATATTGGTGAATCTATTTGATTAGTCAGTTAACCACCTTCTAGTCTTATTTTTATCGACTCTTAGAACCGAAAGGGGAGGAGTCGGTCGAAAAAGGTTTGCATAAGCTAGGCTTGTTCGTAACTGTATTGCCTAGGAGTTAAATGACTTGGTAATTGCCGTTCTAGTTTGTTCTCTTGTTACGAAGAGTTATTGAGAATGAGTTCTAGAACGTGTTTGTTATTCAAATCGCTTAACTGAATAATCACTTGCCCACTAATTGCATTTCGAACCGAAACGGATATCCCCGATTCCCTAGCTTCTCAAATCCTTATTGTTCTTTGTTGCCTTGCCACTTTTATTACTTGATTTATTAATTGCAATAGTTGATAACTAAAACTATCCAATCATCTGAGTTAGTATGTTTAGGTATTTTTCTTTTTTAATTTTCCTTTTTGAGTGATTGAATAAACGTGCTTAGTATTCCGGCTGACCTTCCTCGAGAGACACGACCCGGTGTCGAATCATTCGATTTAACCCCGGTAAAAATATTTACAACATTCACCAAAATCCTGGTGAATAGAATGAAATGCACCCTTCCCAAGCTGATCCACCCTGCTCAAGCGAGCTTTGTCCCGGGGAGACACATAACGGACAATATCATCGTAGCACAAGAGCTAATTCACTCGATGCGAGGAATGCGAGGAAGGAAGGGGTATATGGTGATAAAAGTTGACCTCGAGAAAGCCTAAGATTATCTCCAATGGGATTTTATTGAGGAGACTTTGCGGCAGGTTGGCTATCCGGACAGACTTGTGTCGGCAGTTATGGCATGCCTTCACTCGACCTCGATGCGGTTATTATGGAATGGGGCGCTGGGCGAGGAATTTTGGCCCACCAGAGGGGTGAGGCAAGGGGACTCCATTTCCCCCTATATGTTTGTCTTATACATGAAACGGCTGACACAAATTATAGATACTCTGGTCGCCACCTCAGCATGGAGGACGATGTCGGTGGGACGTGGGACCGTCCAGGTGCCATTTTTGATGTTTGCTGACAACTTACTCCTGTTTCTCGAGGCCTCGGATGACCAAGCTCTCATCCTTAAGCAAGTCCTCAACCATTTTTGCTATATTTTGGGCCTTAAAGTGAGCCCGGAGAAGAACCAATCTTTTTCTCTAGCAATGTCGGGCATCAAGAAAAGCAAAGGTTGGCCGATGTGCTTAACTTTTCGATGACCGAGAGTTTGGGGCGATATTTGGGCATGCAAATCATTCATGGTCGGGTCACCAGGCAAACCCATTCGCATATCTTGGAGACTACGGAGGCGTGACTAGCGGGCTGGCGCATGCATGAACTCTCGATGGCTGGGCGGGTTACCCTTACCCAGTCGGTGCTTAACGCTTTACCCATCTATGCGATGCAAACGACCAGGATCCCGGCGACAATCACTGGCAGCCTGCACAAGAGAAGCCGTGCATTTCTTTGGGGTGGGACCCCTGCGCAGCGTAAGATACATTTGGTTGCTTGGGATAACGTATGCAAACCTAAAGCTGAAGGAGGGCTGAGACTAAAAGATCTTTGGCGACTGAACAGTCCTTTGATAATGAAGCTCGGTTGGGGACTGCTGGCTAAATCGAACGCTTTGTGGGTTAGAGTTCTCAAGGCGAAGTACCGAGTAGATTTTTCAAATGGGCTGGCGAATATTCAATGGCGACCAGGCTCGACCGTATTTCGTTCTATTAGCAAAGTATGGCCTGATGTGTTACGTGGGGTTCGTTGGCGCGTCGGGGATGGTTTGACGACAAAGTTTTGGACTGACCCATGGCTTCGCAATACGGGGCCGCTGATCGCGCACGCTCCTCACAACTCACCGAGTGTGAATGTCTCGACGACGGTGGCCGACCTCGTGGATGAATATGGCAGGTGGAAATGGGACCTTCTTCATGGATCTCTACCAGCCACGGTGATCCTTCGCTTGGCAGGCACGCTTCCCCCGCGCGAGGAGGATGGGGCAGATCGGATCGTGTGGGGCTTCTCGGAGGACGACAATTTTTCGACGAAGACTGCATATAGTTCGTTAGCCCTTCCGGAGGTGAGGTCTGACCAACTGCTGTGGCGTTTAATCTGGAAGACTCCAGCTCCGCAGCGGGCCCGCCAGTTACTGTGGCTCGTGGCTAGGGGTCGCTTGCTTACTAATATGGAGCGTGTTCGTCGGCATCTTGCGTCTGCGGATAGTTGCGAATTTTGTGGAGTGAGCGAATCGATCCTTCACGTCCTGCGGGACTGCCCTTACGTCAAGCCAGTGTGGCTTCGGCTAATCCCAACGGGTGGTGCGGTTGATTTCTTCCAGCAGCCCCTCCT